GCATTTATATTATTGAATTTTGCATTCCAACTGTTGACCGGCGTTAGAGATTTTAAATTTTTTATGCACATGAGTTACACACGTTGTCTGGATATACTTTAATCCGGTACGGATTTAAAATAATTCGAAAAAAATTGTAAAATTTCAAATGCGGATAACAGTTGGTATATGCAAAATTCGGTAAATAGAAAATACCGGATAAATTGAATTATGAATACAACTGAAACCCAACCTATTTATATCTTTTTGATTCATATTAGAGCCTCAATCCCTCGATTGGAGCTTTAATCACGGTTGTACCAAAATAAGAAATTCATAATATTTTGTTGACTGTAAAAGTATTTTCTTAAATTTTTACTATATCTTTATTTTATTATCATTACTTAAAATTCATTATCTAATTTTTATCTGAATGAATGAATGACTCCCAAAACCAAAGGTTTTCAGAAATATTACAATATGTTGTTACAAATAATCGCTAAACCTGTTGCTAATGTTTATTTTTGGTGAACTTCTAAAATTATAGTATGATCTTATTATTTCGTATTATTCGTATATTGATAATTTAAATTAAATTGATATATAATCATACAGGAAGGTGCTCAATTTAAAAAGATTTACTCTTATTTCTCCAATCTTATCATTGTGCCCGGTGGTTGGATATATGGACAAATGTTTATATAGTATGTCCCGAATGTGACTCTGTGATCTTCTCTCTGAACCATACGTTAATTTCCTTAGACGTTTAACAATTATTTTTTGTTTTTGGGTTATCCGCAAATTTGTTTGATGGAACCAGTGTAGGAGGAAAATTGGTGCTTGTGAGATTCATATCAAATCTTTGGGCGGCTTGTAAAATTCTTGAATCACAATATAAATATCCTTGTACTAAAAAAAAATCACGTTTAATTTCGTGCTCCAATTCATTATATTCATAATCTCCTCGTATTTTGAATAAAGTTTCATCATTAATTTCAGCGTGAATTCTTGAAAAAAGTCCTAAAAGGTAGATTTGACGTAAATTAAACATCCATGTTTCATAATTTTGGGCTTATTTATATTTCTTTCCGGCATCCTTTCTTTAAGCTATTTAACGCGCGTCGCTTATCATCATTAGCTTTCATAAAAAACGCGATAACATTCTTAACATGATCGATCCAATAATGTGGAGGTTCCGATAAATCTATGCTTGGTGTTAGTGGTACAATAAGTCCAAGAACTTCATTATCGATCATAAAAGTTGATCCGAGTATATCAGAACTATTAAATATTATTAATAAAATTTTTTCAGATTCAAATTATTATAAAAATATATGTGTGTGTGTAAAATAGTAAATTAATTTACGGAACATACAGTATTGACAAGAGCGAACACCAGGAATCCAATAGTTTGTCAACGTTTTCTCTATAGTTTTACAAAATTGACAACCCTTTTCAAACGTTAAATAGCCTCGCAAAGTTTTGTTCAGTCATTCTTGTTCCATATTTCGAAAAAATGTAAAATTTTAGAATTTCTCCAAACTTCTTCTTCTGCTAATGAATAGATACTTTTGTCTTAAATATTTTTGAAATCTTTGCACACGCATACCATCGCAAGAAGATCTGACGGCCGCAAATTAAACAGACAAATATGAATGTTTTTACGACTTGTTATAATATCGTGTATACGTGTTAAAAATTGAAAAAATTACAGCTGATCCGATAAATCGTAAAAAACGGGAGCCAGACGGATTTGCCGGGTTTCGGATAAAATCATCTAACGCCACGCTACGCACTATTACATAACGATTATCTTCTTTCTTCGTTTGAAGTATTTTTTTCTGATGTAAAATTCCATTGGCTTTCTAATACTGTAATATTCTTTTTACCGTCTAGAAAAAAAAACAATTTAAAGTTAAATAAAATAGGATTTGATTCACATAAATCTATTCACTTACACGAATCACTTCCTCATAAGTTTCTTCGTTGATTTCTACGACTGTAATAGTTTCTTCGACGTCTCCTAAAACCATATTCAAATGACCATCATATGCCTGTCAAATTAATAGATTATAACGAAAAATTGGTTAAACTAAGTTAAAATAAACGACCGTTATCCTTGTTGTTTAAGGGTTCGCTCACTTCACAAAAGAACCGGAAAAAGTAATAATACATGAAGTTTTCCATGTAATTCGCGATCACCACGTAATTTCACATATATTCGTTCATCAAGCGATAGACGAACCAAATCTAGTGGTCCTTCAACTGCGTTTGGTTCAACGGGCGCGTTATGAGTTTCCTCAGTCATTTAGTGGTTAGAATAAATTTTCGAAAGTATATAGCTACTTTCGGACGCGAAATTAGAATCTATGATATACGAAAATCATTCAATAAAAATTGATATGTATTAATATGGGTAGCATGATCAATGAATAAAAATTTTTAAATTGAAAACATTTTTTTGTTAATTAAAACGAATCAATGCCAATAAAAAAAAAAAAAAAAAAGAATACTTTAGAAAATTGCGGATTCTAATCTTGTAAGACGATTCACTTTGGTTACAAAAAATATGCTATATAGATTATCATCAAGCTTATGAAAATCTATAATATGCTGACTAACTTCTTTGATATTACTCGGGGTAAGTGCGTTACAAAGTCGACATTCAAAAACAGGTTGATTTCGAAGGCTACCAACTTTTAACGCTCCATCTATTTCAAGAAAATATTCAAGTTGTTTATAAGAATTGGTAAAAGACTTGGTTTGAATAATTTTTGACATTTGTTTCGGTCCGGTGGATTTACGAAACTCGGACATATAGGCAAATATTTAAATAGATATTTAAATAGTATATGTGTCGAATGCTAGAACTTGATCTTCCCTCTGAGCCATATGTTAAATTCTTTAGACGTTTAACAATCATTTTTTGGTTTGGAGTTATGTTATCCGCAAATTCGTTCTCTGATGGAACCAATATAGGAGGAAAATTGGTGCTTGTGAGATTCATATCAATTCTTTGGCGATTTGTAAAATTCTTGATTTATATTGCTGCCAATTCTGTATTCATAATCTTGCATTTTGAATAAAGTTTCATCATTAATTTCAGCATTCATAATCTTGCATTTTGAATAAAGTTTCATCATTAATTTCAGCGTGAATTCTTGAAAAATGTCCTAAAAGGTAGATTTGACGTAAATTAAACATCCATTTTTCATAATTTTGATCTTCTTTACATTTCGTTCCAACATCTTCTCTTAAGCCATTTAACGCGGGTCGCATATTATCATAAAAAAACATGATAGCATCCTTAACATGATCGATCCAATAATGTGGAGGTTCTGATAAACCTATGCTTGGTGTTACTGGTAAAATAAGTCCAAGAAATTCATTATCGGACATAAAAGTTGATCTGGGTAAATCAAAACTATTAAATATTATTATTAAAATTTTATTCGGATTCAAATTATTATAAAATAAATATACATACAGTCAGACCTCGTTATAGTCACTCTCAATATAGTCACAACCTTGTTATAATCACGCTATTTTTTTGATCTAGCTATTATAAAACATATAAATTTTGACCTTTATATAGTCACAACTTTTTATAATCACCAAAATTTTGTTTCCCAACCTGGTGATTATATCGAGGTCTGACTGTATATGTAAAATAGTGAATTAATTTACCTAAAAACTCTTGGGAAACTTGGGAATAGATTGTCAATGGTCTCAATAAAGTTTACAAATTGACAACCCTTCTCAAATGTTAATAGCCTCGTATCCTTATCTCGAAAAATTGTAAACCTAATTCTAGAATTTCTCCAAATTTCTTCTGCTAATGGATTGATACTTTGTCTAAATATTTTTGAAATCTTTGCACACGCATACCATCGCAAGAAGATCTGACGGTCGCAAATTATAACAGACAAATATGAATAGTTTTACGTGTACGTCTTGCAATTTTTTTTTTATAATATCGAGTATTCGTATTAAAAAATTGGGTTGATTATAACAAAAATTTTATTTATATGTAGGCTAGCTGTCGTATAGGTTAACAAATTTGAATAGCGAAAGTCTGTGTTTTATTTATTTACTTTGTTTTTCGTATCTTGGAGAGAAAAGAGACGTCTTCGTTTACTAATCTCACTCTTATTTATATTACATTGTTAATTTTTTAAACTACAAAGATGACACATATTTTATGCACGATTACACACAAATTACAATAAGCTCGCATAAAAGTTTATTTGATCTACTCGATATATCATCACGCTTATTATGCTACTATAAGCCACATATGAACCCGATCCATCACTTCCGACATAAAGCGGAATCCATATAATTTACCGTTACGTTAAACCAGTATTGTTCTTAATGATTTTGGGTCAAAATCCCGAACAACAGATTATCTAAATTATGGATGCCACCTAATCACACCCGAACATAGTACAGTACAAAGGGTACTGGTCTTCGCCACAATTTTTTTAAAGAAGGGTTTTTATAAACAATTATATATGGGACATCCATAATTTACGTTAAACAAGTATGCATTGTATAGAAATAGAGACCTTGAAGATAGTACATATAGTATTATCTTTAAGATCTCTATAACAATACTGGCTTAACGTAAATTATAGTGATATATATATATATATTAGAGAAATGGTTTGCGTACATAAGTTTCATGTAACTTCTCAAATTTGGGCTGCCGTCAATAGAAATCAAGCAAATTTAAAAAAAATCAATACCTTAACTTTCATAGCTCATATCTCGATGAATTTTAAAACTATCTTGATGCTTTAATATTCAAAAGAAAGCTTAGATATAGGGATTGGAACCGCCTAACATTTTTCTTAATCGTTTAATCGTTTAACTGTTTAACCGTTTAGTTTGGCCGGCATTAAAATAATTCCGGCCCACGATCAACATAATTCTGCCCGGAACTATAGAGCAATTTTTAAACGGTTAAACGGTTCCAATCCCTAATAGTTTATTTTTCGGAATACTTCGGAAAATTTCTCAAAGTACAGTATTTCATGTTTATTCACTTTCCTTTTCGAAATTTATCATACCATTCATGAATCATATGGGCAGTGTTCTGAGAAAAGGGCCCAAATTGATAAAAAAAATTCTTTACAAAAAAATCAATTATCTCGTAAACTATTGATCAGAATTGTGTAATTTTGGTACCATTCGATTCCTCTCGATGAGATGAATCTGATGGTACCAAAATCATGCAATTCTGGTTAATAGTTTACGAGATAATTGATTTTTTTTTAAAGAATTTTTTTTTTATCAATTTGGGCCCTTTTCTCAGAACACTGCCCATATGACCCTTAGCCACATTAGGCAGCCGATCATATTACTTCGGCTGGCTTAGTCGGCTAAGCCGGCTTAGTCACAGCTGTCCAAGTTGACTTACAACACTACGTGTGATATACTTTTGTTACAAATATATACACGCGCGCGGACAGACATGAATTTTCAAAATTACATTTTTGATGCACCAGTATAATGTATCTAATTAATTAATCAAGAACGTAACTTTTGATGCATCAAAACGTAACCATTTTATTACTATGACTAAACATTAAAAGTCATCCGCTACGCTCTGGACAATAATTTGAGATTAAGAACATAAGATTAATATTTAAAACATTTGTAAATACGTATTTTCTATTAGATTAGGGCTTGAAAGTCATGATAATATCGTTAGTACGCAGAAAGAAATCACACAAGCAAAATTTTGAGTTACAGGCATTTCTGATTTATTCCTTCTTTTTACAGATCACGAAATTTGATTGAAGAAATAAAAAAAATTACTCCCACTCAAATTCACTGATTAAGTTAGATAACTAAAAAATTTTTATGATTCATACATCTTTTATTGCAACAATAAATGTCTTATAACAATTGGATCATTAAATTGAATTGATTAAATTGACCGACCAGTGTGATTGCATTCTTGCTATACAAGGGATCAACTTTGAAAATTTCCTCGCAAAGCCTATGGAATTTTTACTCCCGCCATCCGCATCCACTTATTTGCGCGGGTAAAACAAACCTCCAAAAGGAAATGGCCAATCAGAGAACACGAATTTTGGGTATTCAGATCAAACCGATATAGAATCCTAACACATGCGAAAAAAGAAAATAAAAGAAAATAAAACGAAAATACTCAAAAACTAGTGTTAAATCGACCTTGTTTGGCTAATAAAATAACGGGAATGAAATTTTACATATAAGGAACTCCAAATTATCGCCGTAACTCACAACTCTAATCCTAAATTGTTTGTATTACCCACGCAAATAAGTAAAATCTACCGGGGATCCTTACCACTATCGTGTTTTAATGAGCACATTGGGTTTATGCAAATAATCGTAATCATATAAATATTATAATGGTAGGAAAATAAGTTAATATTACGTAGCGGTAGTTACTGAAAATTGACGAATTTGATTTCATATGAATATAAATATGTTCAGTCGCATGTCATTTATTTGATTACGCCATATCCGCGGATACTGTACTTGGAATTACTATTTAAAATTTTCAAAATCTTTACCTATAAATAACTATTGATTCACTGGTCCGTTTTGGATGATTTTGTCATCAAAATGGGTTTACAAAAAATCTCGAAAACCATTTTCCCGAAAGAATATAATACCGACTAAATTGGAAATTGGCCAGCATTAATTCCGGCTAACCTTGTCGATATTGGGTCCTTTCGGGATTTTGTAGTAAAACCAATCAAAATGACCGTTCAATGAGACGATTCTAACGAGTCCAAAATCATTAAAATCCAATTATGGGATCCCGAGATAGTTAAGGATTTGTGTCACTTCAGGTGTTTTA